CACAATTCTGCATCAAGAAGAAGCGTCTGCGCGGGAGATTAAAACTTTCAAATCATTCACTTAAACCAGCTTTTCCAAGTGATTAATCATTGCATAGCCTCCAATTTGGTAAGAAGGTGTGCAGCAAGGAATTTAAGGATTAAATGCAAAAACTTCGACCTATGCAAAAAAATTTGCCGTACCTTTTTGTGCTTTAGGTCTCCAGCGGGGACCTACAGAAGACCAAAAGTCTCCGATTAGCAAATATTTTTTGTTCGTCATCGTTCTGATTCACCTCAAACAATTTTTATGTACTGCTTCCTTACAGCAATAAGTAGGATAGAACGCTCTTTCCTCCTTGCTAAGAACTGTTTTACCCAAGTAAAAACTCCAGGCAAAAACGCTGCACTCTTATCCTGTTCACACGCGTTTCTACAAGTTACGAAGGGGGTTTCATAACTTGCTGGATTTTCGAGACGGTACTCGTCCCCGTAAATTCCAACCAGAGACCTCGTGCCGATAGTTTTGCATTTTTCTTACGTTTTTAGACAAAGGCATGACCCAGCTCAGAATAAAAATTTTTAGCTGTTCTAGGGAGCATAAGAGCTGCATATCCTTACCAATAAAATGCAACCTCCCATATTTTAACAATTTAGCTCAGTTCTAGAGAATAATCAGTGTGTTTTCAGCAAAGGCATCGTTCCTGGATTTCCTGCAAAAAGTTCTGAAGAGCAATAATAGTCCATTGGCGAATAAGCCTGATGAGAGTGGCAGAATGCCGAAATCCAACACATCATTTCTACAGAATTATGTGTACTGGTATTTGTGGTTGTGCGCAGATGCTTGAGTAATGATGCAAAAATGGATTTGTCCTGATTATCAATCACTACCTCGCCAACCATACTCGCCAAACCTAAACAGCCACAATGGCACCCTTTAAAAGCAGTGTCCAAGCTATTGCCTCCGAGTTTTTCACCCTTCCTAAATCATTCCAATGCTGAAGGCAAGCTCTTTCTAGACTGAGGCGATGAGTTAAAGTGGCGCGATCTGTGGTCACGATCGCGTGCCATTCTTGCTAACCACTAATTACTGTGCGTGTCGGTATTCGCCGAGGATCTCCAAACCCAAAATCCTTCAACACAAAACTTTTTGTCGGAGTAGTACAGTGCGTCTATTAGCAGTTAAAGAACAAGTGCATACTGGTACGTTTTAGTTCGATAAATTAGAAAATTGAAAATTCCCTTTACGTGTACTTTGATGTCATGTACACTTACCAAAAAC